GGGTGCAGGGTGCCAGGGAGCGAGAGGACCCCCCCCTCTCGCCAAGCCCATCAATTTTTTTTTTTTTTCCCTTCTCCTTAAGCCCGCCCTCTCGGGGCCATTCGGATCCCCACTTTCCGCCCGCGCCTCTGAGCAGCACCCGCCTCCGCTGCCTCCAGATCTCCTCCTTTGCCAACAGCAGCTGGACGCGCACCGACGGCTCCGCCTGGCTGGGGGCGCTGCAGACCCACTCTTGGAGCAATGGCTCGGACATCCACTTCCTGAGGCCCTGGTCCCAGGGCACGTTAAGCGACCATCAGTGGGAGCAGCTGCAGCAAGTGTTCTGGGTGTACCGGAGAGGCTTCACCAGGGAAATCCAGGGATTCGCCAAAATGCTGCACTTGGACTGTGAGCTGAGGGATGGGTCCCTGGGCAGCTGTCCTCGGGGAGACAGCGGAGGCAGAGGCCCAGCTGGGAGACTGTGACCTCACCAGCTGGGATGTTGTCATTTCCACTCCTGCCAGGAAGGTCCCAGCCACTGACTCCCCAAAATATCCCTGGTTCCTCCTGCCCTGGGTCACCCCCTCTCATTTCCCGGAGCTTTGGGTGGTATAGCCCTCACATCCATGTCTTCTTCGGTTGTTCCCACCGTTAAACCGTTTGATCTCCTTTCGTTCCTCTCCTCAGATCCCTTTGAGGTCCAGGTGTTGGCTGGGTGTGAGGTGCACCCTGGAAGCCCCCTAAAAAGCTTCTTCCACTCAGCATTTCAAGGAAGCGATATATTGAATTTCCAGCGAACTTCTTGGGTGCCAGCCCCCGATGCCCCACATTGGGCCGAGGTGGTCAGCAAGGAGCTCAACAAGGACCAATACGTCAAGGACACAGTAGAGTGGCTCCTCAGTGACATTTGCCCCCAATTAGTGACGAGCCTCCTTGAAGCAGGACAGCAGGATCTGGAGAAGCAAGGTCAGCCTGCATGTCTCCCCCCCATCCCTCCCCATCTTTCCTCTGTGAGGCTCAATCTGGGTTCTCCATTCTAGGGTTTATATTCCTTTGCACCTTGGAAGAGAAAGGCTCAGGAGGGGATGGCTAAGGCCTGAGGGCATTATTCATTCCATAGTATTCACTGAGCAACCTTTGGGTTTGTGAGTTCAGTTAAATAAGCACTGGGGTCAAACAGGATCTTTGCTTGAGGGGGAGGATGGGAAGACAAGCAGTAAAGCAGGGTGTGAAACTTGGATATGTTACAGCTGAGCACAGGGTGGTCTAGGAGTGTAGGCAGGGGCGTTTACAGGAGACTGGGTCAGGGAGACGCTAGAACAAATGGATGAAGTGACCGGAGCCTTCGTTTCCTGCGGTGGGACTGTGGGCTGCCTGAGTCAGCCACGGGGCCGGAGCCTCTAATGCAGAGGCCCCACTCCCTTGTTGGATACAGTGAAGCCCGAGGCCTGGCTGTCCAGTGGCCCCCCTCCTGGCCCTGGCCGTCTGCTGCTGGTGTGCCACGTCTCAGGATTCTACCCAGAGCCTGTGTGGGTGAGGTGGATGCGGGGGCAGCAGGAGCAGCCCGGCGCTCAGCAAGGGGACGTCCTGCCCAATGCTGATGAGACATGGTATCTCCGAGTGACCCTGGACGTGGCGGCTGGGGAGGCAGCTGGCCTGACCTGCCGAGTGAGACACAGCAGCCTTGGAGGCCAGGACATCGTCCTCTACTGGGGGTGAGAACTAGGGCCCCGCGGGGAGGGGATGTGGTTCTGAAGCACAGAGGGCGGGACAGGGAAGGATGGGAGTGGACTGATGCAGGACAGAGGGGTTTCAGAGATGAGGCCCTGACCAGGATGGAAAAAGGGAGGGGATCCGGGTACAGGACAGAGGGGAATAAAGATCTCAACTCAAAAGCCACTGAGGCAGGACATTCCATATGCAAGAAAAGTGAGACTAAAATCCTCCCAGTTTCAGAAGTAGGCGGCACATGAAGAATCCCAGGAAGACTTATTCCTCAGGAGAGGGGATGGGAGCAGGAGAAGGCAGGGTACACAGGTAGCTGT